CGACCATAAAGCCGCTCAAATTAGTTGTGTCAAAATGAGGTAATAACCAGTTCACCACAAGTAGAATATTCACAATGTAAGCTGCTTCTGTTTTAAAAATCTGGCCATGATTTATTCCAAATCTACGATGACTCACAGGTGACTCTAGGGATCCACCTTACTGACTGCCATTCGACACCTTTAAGAAGCCTGATCCTGAGAAGTTGGCACAAACCTTCCATCTGTACCGTCTGCTGCGCCTCACCAAGTTAACATATCATTAAAAAGAAGAACTCAAATTAATGTGAGTTGTCCAAAAAAAATAAATAAAAATCCCAACAAAGAATGAACAACAACAGAGCTATCTAAATGGACTATGCACATTGGAGGGGCATGGCTTTGAACATCTCTAACATTAGAAGAAAAACACCATCGGGAGGCAGTTTCTCAGGAAATGGGTACAAACCCCCAGGGTCGCACTAAAACTTCTCCTGTTTCTTTAAACAAAGAGCCAACAGAGAAAAAGTGACGCCAACAAAAAGGCAACGGTGATTCGACGACAGGTTGGGAAAAATAAACCACACCCACTAACAGAACATGTCGGGTCGACGACAATCGGGCCGGGGTTGGTGAAAGGAGGACAAACGGGCGGCCTAATGAGGACAGGCTTTTCTTTTCGGTCTACACAATCTAAATTGCATAAGAAACCTGGTATAAAGTAGAAACTGTTCAGCAGCAGATAAAAAAGCAAGTTCATTTACAGTAGTGACATATCTTACATCATTCTTTTTTTTTTTCCCCAAAATAAATTAAATTAAATATACAATTCCAGGAAGGAAACAGGATAATTTCGCTGGTAGTGTTCTCAAATTGGCTCATCTGGCAGACCGTTCACAGAAACGTGGTTGGGGTCCAACCGAATCCTTTGACTGGCAAAACAAAGGGTGCAAAAGCCTTTTTGCTGAAGTTTTCCCGCTGAAGGCATGTCCTTTAACTGCATAGAAGCAATTGTTAAGAGATCATTATTAATTTCCGATGTCATGGTTTATGCAAGACTCTTGTTAAACACTTCGCTCACCCTGGAATTTACAGCAGACCCCCCTAATCGAATGCCATCTCTTGACTTTTCCTTACGCAGCGAGCCACCTTCTTCTTGAATTCTCCATTTGGATCCTCCCTCCATTCTTTCTGTGGGAGCAACATTGCATTATTGAAACTCCAATGCTTCAGTTCTCCTTAACGACGGAGATCGTGAGATTTTGAAGACAAATACCGATACGGGGGTAGAGGGAAGGAAATGAAGCGCGACTCACCGCAGCATCCACGTTAGCTGGTGAATCGCTGTTTGGGTCTGCGAGCATGGAGATGACGCTGATCATGATTGTCTCTACAGTGTGGATCGGAAGCCAGCGCTCCTCTGGCTTCTCGTAACCAAACTTGTCTTCTCCTGGCTCGTGCAGAATTGAGATGCAAACATCCCCGTTCTTTGCAACTGTGAGGGAGCAGGAGGTGAGAACTGTTAAGGCTGTAGCATGTAACTTTTATAAAAACAAAAAGTATCTTTTTTTTTAATGCATTTGTTAAAACTGTCACCATGTGAAAACGTCAATCTCCTCCACCTCCTCCCTGAGTTATTACTGCCATCTAAAGAAATGCCCTGCTCCCGACCGAAACCAACCAATCGGAGCCAGGAGACGAACCTTGTGTACTCGCTGCTAAATTTGCTAATGGTACAGAAACAACCTACAGTTACATGAAAACCGCCGTCATTGGTAGTCGTGCTACCTAACTTAAGGATTCACAACAAGTTCTGCTAACTGTAGAGCAGCAGAGAGCAAAGGGGACGGGACAGAGGGGGTGAGCAACACTGAGACCCCCCTCTTGGCTCTGATTGGTTGCGTCTATCTAGACCTGATAGCAGTGGTGGGAAGTACAATTTTCATCTATCTGTACTTTAGTCAGTAGATTTTATCTTGGATACTTTCAACTTTTTTCAATGTTTGCTGTTTATTTGTACTTTTACTTAAGTACATTGTTCGAGTACTTTCTCCACCACTGCCTGGTAGAAGAAGACTGAGTATGTCTAATACCATACAACATGACGGATTCAACAAATATGACAACAAAAAAAAAGTAAGCGTTACGCACTGCAGCTTTAAATGAGGAAAATAGTTTGGATATTTAGCCACAAACCACACAATGATATCTTGAGAGGTGTCTTTACCATTTGGATGCCAAATTTCTGTGATGAATTTCATCTTTGGCGGCCGTAGCGGATAATCATAGGGAAAGGTTAGGTATGCCTTGAAAAATCCTCCTTCACTGCAAAACGAAAGAAAAAAAGAAAATGTAAAATAAATAATTCTGTCAGATCCCCCTCTCTTACCCCCCATTTCAATATGTTCTCACTTACAAAAGAGTATCTTGTGGACCAATTATCACAACTTCCCATTTGTATATGTCGTCATCGTCTATCAGGCCAGCTGAAAAGCCCTCTACTGGGTTCTTGTTGAGCTCTGGCAGGACACGGAAAAGTTTAGATATGAAAAGATAACGGTAAACTTGTATGGATTTTATCGCAGCTCCCAATTAACTTCATACCACACCAAACTCTTTCAAAATGATACTCAGTTTGTGAATGCTCAACATGGATGCTGCGATTATTTGGCTAAAGACTTTAAATGACTCTGCTAGATTATCAATAGGTCAGATAAAGACAAAACAGATTTTTCTTTGCCTCATTAAATGCATCAAAACTACTTAAAATTAAATTTGGTAAGTCAGGTCTCACAGGCAACCTTTTAATATTTGGCATCAGCCAAATATTTAAAAAAGTTAATTAGTGTTGAGGTGATATACAGATGTTCACAATAGTGAAGAGATCTATGTCAACTCATTGATTAATACAGTAAAATTTAGGGGTGCACTGATTGCACTTTTCTCACCAATTCCGATTTTGGTTGGTACCAGCTTTTTGTTTGAAATGTTGTCAATATATCAAGAAAGTTGCTTAATTGGCAACAATGGTGTGACTATTGTTGATTGTAAATGTGAAGACATGACCTGGTCGGCCACTTTGTCAGTCAAACCTCTTACGGGAAAAAAGAAAAAAACAGTGGTTGATTTTTAGGCCTTTGCCGAGGCTGATGACAGAGGTGGATAAGATCGGCTTCACATGTAAAAATTGGCCGATCTCCCAACATTAAGAAAATCGGTGCACCCCTAGTAAAATTATAATAAAAGTATGTCTTGACATTTTGGGCAATGAGGGGGAAAAAAATACATCAATCCCTAAAACCGATTATTGTAGCTTGAATTAAAACCCATTTCTTTAATTCCTGCAAAAATAGCCCATCATCGCCAAAACAGAAATTAAATCAGTATGCTGTTGATCTATAAACCTTGCCCTGAGTATTCTATATTTGAAACAGAGTTTAACCAGCCTGCTAACTGATGAGAAATATAGATGGTTTTTTTTCTATACATGTCACCCAGCTCCATTCCAGCAGAGATCCAAATGTTCGGCATCATCATGAAAAATCACATGCCCTTCCAAATAAACTGGTTACAAGAACATCAAGGGTCAAACTAATACATTTAACAGCATCATAGCCCCAGATTAGTAAGGAATATGACCTTAAATATGCAAAATAAGAGTCTGTATTGATTTCTATGAATTGTTTACAGAAGTAGTGACGTGTGCTCCGATAGAAGGATCGGACTACTTGCAACTATAATTAGCCTTATGAGTGATCAAGGCATGAGATGTTCTTGGATTGATTATTCCTTTGTTCTATCTGACAACTAATACCAAACTAGCTAGCAGCTAGCAAGGTCCTCGGTACGAGTATGTACTAGTGAAGGTGGTTATTTTGTCATTTTTAGTTCTAAATTTATGGGTTGAATCGTAAAAGTGATTAGCTAACCAAAGCAGCTTAGCAACACGCTGAGGTGTATTGATAAAGGCAGCCAGCCTTCATGCTGCTGTGTTAGCTCCCCGAGCTCAGTCCTATGGCGTAAAAACAGCGTTCCTGGTAGCTTACAGAAAAGCTAACGTTAGCGCAGCGGTTACACACATAACCTTTGCTTCACAGTCAAGACTAATACTTATATTACCTGCTAATTGTTTTCGAAGAAGTAATGCTGATTGTTCGGTCATGGTACGCGAACGGAACCGAAGGAAAACACTGTCTGTAGACAAACACCTTCGGAAAAGCAGAGCTAAAACTGGGACAGGAACGAGGCGCTGCGCTGCCAACTGCTGGCTGTTTAGACACAACATGCATCTGATGGATGGGAAGTGTGCGCATGCGCGACTTTATATGCCCAAAAAAATACATTGATTTCTAAGAAAATTTTTTTTACAAGTTCTTGTCCGCTGAGGTGTACCAGAAGCAGTGTTTTCTATCCTGGACCAGCTCTCTTAAACCTTCCCGACTCCTGATTAGTATGACACATGGTGCAGGTTTTGGCAAAGGCATTTGCATTGTTCACCATGTTCATATTTTTGGCTGTTTGCATTTACTGCTGGGTACAAAAAATAAGCGAATTTCAACTTAGCACAAGATAAAATTTACATAGTTAGTAGAATATATAATTATTTTTTTCGCGAGGAGTTAAAATGTACTTATTTTGTACTCACAAATAAATAAATAGACATGTTACAAAATAAACATGGATATAAGACATAATAAAAATAAGATAAAAAAACAACAACAACAACAACAAATATATATATATTCAATTTCTTTCGGAGCGTTTGACATTTTTAGCTTTTATAAGATGCATTCAGATCTATCGGAAAGAACACTCACAACCTCTACTCCGTTAAAAAAGCATTAATAAGAACACAAAACTTGTCAACTTTAAAAAAATTGCAGTAAAGTAAATAAAAAATAGTGTGCGAACTACAGTTAACAAAATACTTAAGACAGTATATATATATTTTTTGCGGCTGTAGAAAAATACGAGCTGGTCAGGTGTACCAGAAGGCAGCAGTAGACGGAAGGAAGGCTGAGCGGCGCCATATTTAATACATCCGATGCTAGCCACCCTTAGCTGTTAGCTGACAGAAACTTTAAACTGGACACGGAAAGGTTCAGCAAGCCCTCACTTTTCTCCAAAATGAATGTAGTGGATCATGTTCGGGATATGGCTGCAGCTGGCCTTTACTCCAATGTCCGCATATTGAGCAGTTTGTTGCTGACGATGAGTAATAATAACCCGTGAGTAATATCAAGTCAGTAATATCAGTGTGGGGCCCGTCTAGTTCCTGACAAGTGTGCTTCCACACTAATATCGCTGTGTTTTCTCTCCCCGGTGGGGGCAGTCTAACGCCAACTAACAGTAATGATTGTGTCTTTTACAGAGCCGTATTTTGATTATAACATCACGAAATTGGGTCGGGAAATGATTCTAAATCACGGAGGTGCGTGTAGGTCCCAAGATATAGCCGTATGCAGGCTCTGAAACGTAACGATGTTTCTAGCAGTTAAAACATCCGAGGTCGTTCGACATTTATTCTGCTGATATTTGTCCAATTTCCTCATTTAGTCCTTATATTTTACGGTGATTACCTTAACGGTAACTTGACTGGAATAATTATTTACCAAGACAGACAGTAGTAAAGCAATAAAAATAACTTTTACTCTTTGCTACAGTATTTATTATGCTAGCAGCATCTTGCATAGACCGAATTGGTTGCTTTTCTCCCATGTCATGTCAATATAAATTGCTTAAAATGTATTCTAGTATATTGTTTTGATGCATGGCTGAAATAATCTCTGTGTGTGTGTGTAATTCCAGAGAGCTGTTCTCACCGGCCCAGAAGTACCAGCTGTTGGTTTACCATGCTGATGCCATCTTCCATGACAAGGAATACCGCAATGCTGCCTGCAAATACAGCATGGCTCTTCAGCAGAAGAAGGTGCTCAACAAAACATCCAAGGTTCGAACCTCAACTGGTGGAGCTGCTGCCAACATCCAGGCACAGGTTAGTTTTTGTATTGTTGGCACCTTGTGGTGTATTGTTCAGTGTTTCCCCCCAGACTTACAGTGTATTGTAAGTCTGGCGGGCCACCAGGCTTGCAATAGAAATTTCGTTGAATCCTGTTCAATGACAATAAATGCTATTCTATTCTTCTATTCTTTACTTGTGCCCCACCAAATTCGCCATTATTTATTTACCCAAGTCTTTTTTTTAAATGTTTGCATTTTTTAAAAGATTTTACAGTAGGTGTAATCTTTCAGTGACACATAATTATCAAGTGATATTTTCAAATTTCCTGTCGACTTTAAACATTTTTTAGCTGAAAAACACGACGGAGCGCTGGATGAATGACCCCCCCTAAGAGCCAACCACTGGGCTTAGCAGGTTTTCTGGGGGGGAAACCATGTTGTTACCACATCTGATGTCCAGTGTGTTGTTAGAATTATGGGTGAAAGACATAACGTATGAGTCAGTGAGCTTTAAAAGGAACCTCTCTGTCATGGAACCTGCTGCATTTTAATGAATTAGTTTAATTAATTAAATTATTACAGCTGTCCCAGGTGCTGTGACGTTCAGCAGAAACTTATTAGTTGCTTTATAATTTTTTTTTCCCTTTCAGAGTTTGCCGTCAGAAATCGAGGTAAAGTACAAGATAGCTGAATGCTACACCATACTGAAACTGGATAAAGACGCTATCGCTGTTCTGGACGGGATCCCATCAAGACAAAGGACCCCAAAGGTAGAGTTGCTCCCTTTTGATTGGAGAATCGACTGTGTTGTTGTCAGAAATGCAGCTGCATCATAACAGAAAATGCTGCAGAGCTCTTGATATGATAAATTGAGTGTATTGTTTGCTTCAATGTTTTTGTGGAGCGCTGTCTAATATTGTTGCGATTCTGTTGGTTTTTTTTTTTTTTTTTTTTTGCTTTTTTTTTTTCCCGTCCTCAGATCAACATGATGCTGGCTAACCTGTACAGGAAAGCCGGACAGGAACGCTCGGCCGTGACGAGCTACAAAGAGGTGCTCAGACAGTGTCCGCTCGCCTTGGACGCCATCATCGGTACGCACAGATATTCACATACGCAGCTTCGGCTTTATATCGGTGACATTTCCAGTTTGGTCAGGATCATAAAAATCCTTCTTATTGGCATTTGGTTGTAAACATACCAGATGCTTAGTGAACGCATATAAAAACACCTGACCCTCCCTCTGCAGCACTATCTGCATTTCAGTTCATCATATAACTCCTCAATTTGACATTTCGAAAATAAATTTCTTTGATGGAGTTTGAGACAACTTTTTTTTAAAAATTTTATGTCTTGTCGTGTGAACAAATGTATTGGTGTTTTTATTTTCTATTGTGCATCATATTTAATCTAAACATCACAATTGGGAAATTCTTTTTTTTTTTTTGAACATTAAAGGGATATTGACAAAGTTTTCCGCACATCTGTAATGGAAGCACAGCTACTGTGTTGTATGAAGGTTTATCCGTAAAGGAGACAAACCTTTGTTTCATATTTTCTTCTCTACGCTCAAAGTTTTCACCCTGATCCAACTGCTTGGATTTAGTTGATGAGTTGATGTTGAAAATCAAATCTTAAGCGTCTCTCTCTTCCTTTGTCTCTCTCTCTCTCTCTCTCCTCCAGGTCTTCTCTCTCTGTCAGTGAAAGGAGCGGAGGTCGCCTCCATGACCATGGATGTGATCCAGAATCTCCCCAACCTGGACTGGCTCTCTGTGTGGATCAAAGCGTACGCCTTCATCCACGCCGGGGACAACCAGAGAGCCATCAACACTATCTGGTGAGAACGGGTTTGACGTTTCCTCCCAGCTGGCCAACTTCCCCCCGCCTCCCTAATATGAAGGGTTCTCCTTCAGCTCTCTAGAGAAGAAGTCACTGCTGCGGGACAACGTGGACCTCCTGGTGAGCCTGGCCGACGTCTACTTCAGGGCAGGCGACACCAAGAACGCCATTCTTAAATTTGAACAAGCTCAGATGCTGGACCCGTACCTCATCAAAGGTGTGAAACATTACATCTCCATTTCATTCACCATCGGCTCAAACGATTAATCGGCTATTGAAATAATTGTCAACTAATTTAGTAATTGATTTATCACTAACCGGAGTGTACAGAGCAGTAATTAAGCCAAAAATGTCTGGAAATACCTACATTTTGCATTTAAAGTAGAAAAAAAAGACACTTTTTCTATAAATATGTTCTATCCAAAATTCCTCAATGACATCATCATAGCAACACCTGGTTCAAATTCTGTAAGAAAAGGGAAAAAAAGCACCTTTTGCTTTCCATTTATTAATTGGTTAATTCAAACCTAGTCAAAAGTTAGACCTGCACTGTATTCATGTTCAGGCAAGTAGAAATATAGATTTTTAGCTGCGTCATTTCGCTATAAATGATCAATGGTTCTCTACTGGAATGATGTGTTGCTGCACTTTAGGCAGTAAGATGTTTATTTTCTTATTTAAAATTAATTGTTTATTTACTTCTATTAATGTTTTTCTATTATTCCATTAAAAAAAGGCTTCATGAAATATCTGCAGAATGTGCCGTTTTCTTTTTTTTTTTTTTTTTACATGATTAATCGTCCGAATAACCGATTAATTGAAACAATCGTGAGTTGTGGTCTTGAGCAGCTGCTTCTTCGGACTTGCAGGTATGGATGTCTACGGCTACCTGATGGCCCGGGAGGGACACCTGGAAGACGTGGAAGTCCTGGGAGGACGGTTGTTTAATATTTCTGACCAACACGCTGAACCCTGGGTGATCTCTGGGTGAGTCTTTGAACACACCTTCGTCCCTTAAATCAACATGGGAGTCGATTTAAGGCATCGTCAGCCTCATTTGGTGACGGTGTTTTCTGCGGTGTAGGTTTTTAAATGTGTGTGTGTTGTTCAGCTGCCACAGCTTTTACAGCAAGCGCTACTCCAGAGCCCTCTACTTGGGGGCCAAAGCCATCCAGCTGAACAGCAACAGCGTCCAGGCCCTACTCCTGAAGGGGGCAGCACTGAGGAACATGGGCCGAGTTCAGGAGGCCATCATCCACTTCAGAGAGGCCATGCGGTTAGCGCCTTGCAGGCTGGACTGCTATGAAGGTGCGGCTTTGCTTGTCTAACTTCCGTCAGACGGTCCGGGTGTTTTGGGAGGAGAGTATTTCTGATTCGTTCAACACCTTCAGGTCTGATCGACTGCTACCTGGCGTCCAATGGGATTCGAGAAGCGATGGGCATGGCGAACAATATCTATAAGACTCTGGGGGCCAACGCACAGACTCTGACCATCCTGGCCACGGTGTGCCTGGAAGACCCGGTGACTCAGGAGAAAGCCAAAGCTCTGCTGGACAAGGCCCTCGCTCAGAGGCCCGACTACACCAAGGCTGTGGTGAAGAAGGCCGAGCTGCTCAGTGCGTCTCGCTGCCACACAAACCTTAGACTGCACGTAGGACGTTAAATCAGTTTAGAACACGACAGGGTCGTCTCCACACTAATGGAATCATTCTCTGTTTGTGAAGATCGGGAACAGAAATACGAAGAAGGGATCGCGCTCCTGCGGAATGCGCTGGCCAATCAAAGCGACTGCGTCCTGCACAGAATGCTGGGAGATTTCCTGGTGGCAGTCAATGATTATCAAGAGGCTATGGACCAATACAGCATCGCTTTGAGGTAATTTATATTTTTCATCCCCCACAAAATGTTTAATTGTGTAGCACATTTCATCAACAAGACAGTTGATGACACCATTACAGACGTAGTATAAATTTAAAAGGGTCTGAAGAAGTGTGTGTGTGTGTGTGTGTGTGTGTGTGTGTGTGTGTGTGTGTGTGTGTGTGTGTGTGTGTGTGTGTGTGTGTGTGTGTGTGTGTGTGTGTGTGAGAATCTCAAGCTGTATTGAAGAGTTTGGTCTAACAGGCCTTAACTCTGAGCTTTAAATAATAAAAAAACAAAAAAATGTGCAGAATTTGGTAAAAATGTATGGTTAGCTAACATACTGCCAGTAGCATGTGGGCTATCATTAGCATGTTTACCTTCATTAAGGTACTACAGATATTAAAACTCAGAGTTGTGTATTTTTAACTCTTAGTGTTGTTCTTCCAGCTTGGATCCTAATGACCAGAAGTCGTTGGAGGGCATGCAGAAAATGGAGAAGGAGGAGAGCCCCACGGACGCCACGGTGGAGCTGGACGGCGACGACATGGAGGGCAGCGGGGAGGACGGCGATCTGGAGGGCAGCGACAGCGAAGCGGCTCAGTGGGCCGACCAGGAGCAGTGGTTTGGGATGCAGTGACCCAAGGGTCATAGAGGAGCCCTCAGTTAGCACACCAGAAGCCTTCAGTCGCTGCAGTAGTTAAACTCCCACCCCGCCCCCTGGTGGCACCCAGGAGGTGGTGCAGCTGCTGGTTTCTTAGAAGACCCTGGTTGAAGCAGTTTGCAGAGAATAAAACACTGATCAACCTTTGAACCCTGAGGTTTCTGTTGCTGTACTTTACTTCATAGAGCTGCTGCTCACTTCTACTGAGATTCTGCATAATGCAGAGCTGAAAAGCCAAAACCGTTTCCCCATCGTTCTGCCAACGTCACCAGCTTCAGTCAGAGGCTGCTTGAGCTTTATTTACCCGTTCCAGTCACTGCAGCGGTTTAAGAAAAGCACCCGGCATCCAAACACACAGAAAATCAGCAGATCTTTCAGTTTGTAGCAAGAAATGTAAAGAAAAAAGAAATGACATCTTTTTAGTCTCTAAATTATCATATGTTAGCTTTTCTGTACTGTACAAAACTAAAGCTAACTATTAAACTGCAGTCTGCTCTATTCCGAGGCGTTTTCAGGTTGTTAAACGATAGACGCGTATGTTCTAAAAATATTATTTTTTTTTTTTTGAGTCTGACCTGATGTCCACAGTGCCACACCAAGACATGTCAATATGCCTGGAGTTTGTGACGATTTTTAATATTTTGGCTGCTTTTTATACATTTCTTTTTTTGTCTAATATCAATTTCAAATATTTTATGGGTTTTGCCATAATAAATGTGCTCTGTGTGTTTTGACTGTACTAAGAAAAAAAAAGGAAAATAAGCCCATAGTCAGCTGATTGCATTGTAAAGTTTCCCTAAACAAGCATATAAGTGAAATGTTTATATTTTTGTACATATTTTAATAAATGTATAATAAACCTTGTAAAGATTCTGGCATGCATTTAACCGTCTTCTTCCTTGTGTTGGATCTCATAAAAACTAATATCTGTCTGGAGCCTAAAGCTCTAAGAGAATGAAGAAAACACAGTAAACACTTTATCGTCACTGGAAGCACATTACCCTGTTCTAACACAGGGTAATGTATGTTACAATATATATATATATATATATATATATATATATATATATATATATATATATATAATCTACTGTAGCAAAAGATAAATTGAGAAAAAAAATTCTGGTCGAAGTTGACATTTTGGAATTATTTGTGTGTCTTTTTTAGTCTTGCACATAAAATGACGTTTTTCCATCTGATGACATCATCAGTTACTCAGTATTTAAGCAGTCTATCTAGAAATGCTTTTTTTTTACTGGATGGCTACGTTTTTATTTGTTCTTCAGTATGATTTCTGGCTCCTCTCCCTACCTGCTGTACTTCAGACTCTGATATCCGCTGGTTGTGTTGCTGCTGTGCTGGGTTCAGATCCCAGCCTGGAGTCTTTCTGTGTGAGGCTGGAATTCGTTGAGCAAAAGCAAAGTTTCAAAGTAACCAAGACAAATGTGAGTAAATTTCTCATGTATGAAGATAATTTTTTTTTATTTACCTGAAACAATTCATGGGATACATCGTACAATTATCTGAAAATACAGTACAGCAGTTTGGCAACGAAACGCCAGTGTCTGACGTACTTACAGTAAAACATTGTGCATCACTGCACAGCCGCCCTTCCCAGATATGGCAAAAAAATAACAAAGAATCCTCCAAACACGTTGCACGTCCCAGTGCAAAGCGAAGAAAGCAAATATAAACCAAGGTTTTTGTTTTGTTAAATGTCCCATAGAAGTATTTCCTTAGAAAAAAAAATGGACAGATTTCTTTTAAGCTTTATAACATTTGTACTAATCTGACGAATCGATTGTTTTACTGCTGCTCTACGCTGTTGATTAGAAGATTCTGATGAAGCAGCTGACATGCAGCATGGAGCACTGAATGACCTGTACAGTGAATTCAATCAGCTTCCAAAGATGGAGGGAGAAATGTTTCGTCTGATGCTCCTCATGCAGGAAGACGGGACCGACTGCTTTCTGACCGACGTTCGTTTACAGCCTCGGACTTTGCAGCTGCAGGCAGCTCTTTGCAGAGACGCGCTGCCCCAAAACACACATGCACACCACAAAAACCAAACCCAAAGTTTCTGCAAAGATAAACAAATAAAATAAAATAATGAAAGCGCAGAGGCGGGCTTATTTGGCCTTTCCTGTGAAAGCAAACAAAAAGAAAAGGAAGAATCAGACGGCAGAAATCATGTGTGGGAAGGTCAGATAGGATGGGACCCCATGCAGGTCACGACAAAAACACACACACACAGAAAAACAAATGTATCAAAGTTATATCCTGTATTTCTATATGGGCACTTGTTTTTGCCAGTCTACAATCAAAAACAACCAGAGCCAGCAACACTGAGCCTGGAAACAGAAAAGGTTTCCAGTCAGTGTGGCGCTGGCTCCTGGTGGCACTGAAGGCATTTCACAATACAGTCTCAGTTTTCATTCTCTCTGTTGAACCTTAATATACATACAGCAGTAATGAACAGACGGGGTTTTTTTCTGAAGATGAGCTGGTAGTCGGCATGCTGATTAGAGAGTTCTCACTCTGCGGGTAAAACTCCCGACTGTTGATCAAAAAAAAAAAAAAAAGAACAAAAAAACCCACAACCAGCACAGGAGTGAAGCAGGCATGCAGAGAGGCGCTAACCGAAGGAGACTCTAGTGTTGCTGTTTTATGACATCGACAAATAAAATATACATACAATCTACTTTGTATGTTATGTACAGATATACATCAACTGTTTCAGCCTTAAGAGTCCTTTATGGATTTTTTTTGGGTCTTTTTTTCTTAAAATGTCCACGTTGTGCTATGCTCATAAGACTAACAGCTTCTTGGTGCTTTTTTTTTTTTTTCTCTTTTACATATTCAAGTACAGTATGTGCGGGATACTCACATATTAAAATCATAACAGCAGGAATAAAGGCAGAATCTAGAGAAAAGCTGAAGATAATGATAAAAAAAAAACAAAAAACCAAAAGACTTTTCTTCAAGTATACACAGAGCGAATAATGTGTTGGTACTTTGGTGAGGAGGTGTGGAAAAACAATCTAATATGGGGAGCCCAAAGTGGGTCCTTGGGGGCCGGCATCCTTCACATTTTAGTTCTCTTCCTGCTGGTAGTAAACATGTAAATGTTCTTCTTAGGCCTTTTAATGAGCCATCATTTGATCCAGGTGCGTCAAACCAGGGAGGGAGCTAAAACATGCAGGATGCCGGCCCTTAAGGACCCACTTTGGGAACCACTGATAAATGTAACTTTGACTGTAGCAACATGGGAGGTGTTGGGCACTTTTGAAAAATGTAACCTTTAATTTGAGTACATTTGTTTAGCGGGAAGTTTTTTTTTTTTTAACTCTCCTGCAGTCTCAGTGCAACCCTCGGGAGGAGTGTGGCAGATATCACGGTCAGACCGTCAGTTCCCGAAACGACACACAAAAAGAAAATGTTTGTAAAAGCGTACGTGGGGTCAGTGTGACCCCGCCGGGCAACACACCAGTTAAGAGCTTGTCAGCTCTCAACCATCCTGCTCACCGTTTGCGGTGGACAGTCAAAGCAAGTATCCTCCTCCAGCCTATTGGCTGAAAGAAATACAACACTGTGTCGCTATATTTAGCAACATCTGCGGAATAAATAAAATTGGTATCATCCAAAACCGGCACAATCAGGTCAGTCATTTTAAAGATCGTTGATTGGCCAAAAAGCTGCTAATTGGTGCACCTCTAATTAATTTATTTACATAACTAAAAAAACATCAAGTGTAAATTAAAATAATGCCTCAGATAGATTTATTCTGAAGGGATTGGTACATGGAACTTTGCCAAAAAATATTTAACATGATATCCCACTGAATAAATGTACTCAAATGAAATGAACTCATTTTAAGGCTTTTCTATATACTTTCCATATATACAGCATCATTTCATAGGAATGACATTTCACAAAATTTGACTTTGCCAATTAACACCTTGAAATTGGGCCTGTGTCTCTTTCCAGCTCTTCCCGGCACGCCGCCTTCAGGAGGTCATCACAACAATGTTCCTCTATTAACCCTTTATGAACCTTTTTTTAATCAGTGCTGCTCTGAGAAGAAGCTCCTATGATGAGCTCAGCAGACGTGCAGCTCTGCCAGGTGTTTGCCAATTGCTGCTGGCTAGTCTGAAGGAGCCAAGATGAGACTAGGCATTTTGCAAACCTGAATGGTTGCCACGGGAGATTAAAGTATTCCTCAAACATGCATGAAAGAATTAAAGCGACACTCCAGATGTGTTTTGGAATAATATTGTAACATGATGTAAAGCTCAAAAAAGTTGATTTCACATCATACTGGCCCTTTAAACATCTTTACCATGGGAACCAACTAGCCTATTTATCAACAGGCTGTATCAAAAGTTGCTGTGAAATAAACTTGTAACACGTTTTTGTCCTTTTCCCCATAAAAAAGACCAGAAAAATAAATTTAAACATTTATATAAAAAAAGATTAAGATGTGTGAGCATGTGCGCCGCAAAACAAAGTGGTACGTACCTCAACACTTTTAGTGATAACCTTTGAAATGGTGTTTAGACAAAATGGGTACTTCTGGTCATAATAACAGCATTGAGGTAGCTGCGCTCTGCCTGGTGCAGAAAAATAATAAAGGTGTACAGAGTTCAATAATAACTGAGATTCATATATTGCAAGACTTTCCCCTCCTTTCATCTCTGCACTTTTCAGGTATTACAATCACGCATCCTCTTCACACACCGAGACTCTTTGTTTCCTCCCTAAAAATTACAAAACATTAATAGAAAATAGTGTAAATTCTCTGTACAGCTAAAACACAAAACTCCAACATCACAGGCTTCTCTAACTGCTCACTATGGCGCTAGAAGATGGGAGAAGCCTGGCAGGAAAATAACAGATGTAATTTCAGTCATTAAAATATGACTAAATACCAACCCTTCTCCCCGCAAAAAAAAAAGTTAATAATAATAAATGTATCAGTGGAGATGTAAATAGAACATATGTGACAGTGGTCAGAGCAGGTGCAGATGTCTACGATGAGTTATTCAGAGTTAATGTAACTGTTAGGTGTGTGTTAACGTCCACTTCACACTGGTGTGCAGGAGGGCTAGTGTGCCAGAGTCAGTCAGGGCCACAACATGGCGGACACGTTAGTGTCTGTGCTGTAGATCCACAGCACCAGGGGCAGGGCAACGGCCACGAAGGGCCAGGAAATGCCCTCAGCGCATGCAGACAGGGGGCAGCCTCCCCGGGACGGCTTCTCCAGCTGTTTACCCAGGTCCAGGTAGTTCCGGGCGGCGAACTTCAGCAGCTCGTCCAGCAGGATGACGGGCAGCGAGATCTTCAGCACCATCATCCACTGGGTGGTGTCCAGAGGGGTGATCTGGAAGATGACCTGGGTGCAGTACAGAAACAATGGTTGGCAAGAAATCACGTAGTCGTCGTGGGATGACTGCTGGGTGGTGGCCAACAGGGGGCGTAGTGGTACACAACTACATCAGGGAGCTTCTACTTCTCATTTTATTATTTGAAGGTCTTACAAACTGGTCAAACATGTCAACATTGCTGTAGGGCTGAAACGATTAATCGAACCAACCGTGATGAATTGATTCATGAAATAATCTTAATACTACTCCTGACTTAATCAATAGTTTAGTGATTAATTAACTATGCACACTGAAAGAAGTACATTTACTGAAAGAAGAAGAGTCAGAGCGATAACCAAGCCAAAAATGTATTTAAACATTTAAGGTACATAAAACACCCGGTACAAACTCAGTTTTAAGTACATTACATACAAAGTAATAATTAACAAACCAACTAACCTGGATTTATAGTAATTATCTACAAAGGTTATCACAAGGTTATCCCTTTAAACTAAAGAG